TTATGGGTAGATGGATGGATGGGTAGGTGAATTATGGGTAAGCGGATGAATGGATGGATGGATGGAAGATGAGTTATGGGTAGATGGATGGATGGATGGGTAGATGAATTATGGGTAGATAGATGAATAGATGGATAGACAGATGGATGGATGGATGGAAGATGAGTTATGGGTGGATGGATGGATGGATGAATGGGTAGATGCATTATGGGTGGATGGATGGAAGATGAGTTATGGGTGGATGGATGAATGCACAGGTAGTGGCTGGATGGATGGATGGTGGGGGTATGAGTAGATGAGTTGATAGGTGGTAGATAGACAGATGGGTGACGGGGGACAGATGGATAGTAGATGAATACACAGATGGTAGATGGATGGCTGCTGGGTGGATAGGTAGATGGACAGATAGATGGTAAGCCAATGGATGGATGGTGGGTGTACGCATAGCTGAGTTGATATATGGTCATTGGACAGATGGATGGTGAGTGGATAGGTGGAGGGTAAATGTACAGATGGTAGATGAGTGGATGGATGTAAACAGACGGATGGTAAACCAATGGATGGGTGGTGAGTAAATGACTGGTTAGTTGGTTTTATGGTGGACAGGCAGATGTTTGGGTGGGCAAGTGGATGCAGGCATGAGTGGATGAACAGTTGGGTGGGGGACTGAATGGACTGATGAAGCGATGCCAGAACCTTAGTCTTTGATCAACTTGGAAGGAGCACGTCTAAGCCACTGGCCAAGCCGCTGAGCAAAATGTGCTTGTCCCAGGTCGCCCTTCTCCCAGAAAGAACATGAAATCAGGCTCCCTGGAACGCTGTCCCCAACCCCTACTTCTCAAAGGTCAAGCTAAGAAAGCACAGGCCTTTGGAGATCACGGCTCCTCCCGCCCCGGCCAAGTCTGAGACGCTCATGCGGGCGGTGCCGGTCCCGTGGGCAGAGTAAGCATGGGCCAGGTGGGTGGTTGCACTACCCTGCCAGGGGACTGCCTGGGCTGTCCGGTGTGGCTGTGACTGAGGAAGGGTGAAGCCAACCAGGCAAGGAGCTTCCCAGGCCACCAGGGGCCCCAGGAGGACAGGACACCCCTCTCCCTGGGGAAAGACTCAGGTGCCCAGCCCTGCCCTCCCCCTGTAGCCCCACCTGGGCTCCCCGCTCTCTGCCCCGCTCCTGCCCTTACCAGACGAGGCTGCGAGTCTCGGAAGCATCTCCATGGGGAAGCAGGACAGCCGTCCCCAGGACGCTGCGAGTGCCAACTCCAGTCTAGTGGGCGCCTATTATGTGCTGGGCACTATGACCTAAATGTTCCACATGCACCAGCTCACTAGCCCTCACAATAACCCTCTGTGAGGTAGCTGGCACTATGCCCCATTCCACAAGTGGGGACGGTGAGGCAGAGAGGTGGGGACATCACCAGAGGTCACTCCGTCAACAAGAGCAGAGCCGGAAGCCGAGCACGGTGGTGCACGCCTGTAATCCCAGCATTCAGGAGGCTGAGGCAAGAGGATCACCAAGAGTTCAAAGCCAGCCTGAACTACATCATGAGACCTTGTCTCAAAAATAAAATTGAAAATAAAATAAATTATTTTAAAAACCAATAAAAAAGAACAGAAGTGGGTTTGGAGGCGCTCTCCAGCTAACTCTTAGACCCTCTCCCTGACCAGCTCTCTCCGCTCCCAGCAGGACTGACAGCCCAGCCCCGAGCCAGAAGAGCCGGGCATTCACCCACCCTCCTCCTCAGAGTTGCCTGCCCAGCCGCCGCAAGGCCAAAGCGATGGTCAAGGCGGCAGGGGATGCGGTGACCGCTAGGCCAGGGGGAGCCTGTCTGAGAGGGTGATGGGAGGTGGCGCTGTGACAACAAGCCCAGTGCTACGGATTTAAAAACCAGCTTGGCACAAGCTGCGATGTCAGGGAGCCAGCCAGCTCCAGATCTAGGGGGGCACGGGCACGGCTGTCACCACGCTCAGGAACCTAGGGGCCCCTGCCCTCAGACACCTGGACACAACCTTCTCCGGCACCCTGGGTTCCAGGCGCCAGGCAGCGCAGGTGGACAAAGGAATCTCCCTGCAGTGGAAGGGCACCAACACCAAAGCAGCCGAAAACATTCCAGAGGATGGGAAGAGCGGTCAGAAAAGAAAAGCACTAGCCAGGCGTGGCAGCACCGCCTGTGATCCCAGCACTCTGTGAGGCTGAGGCAGGAGGAGGATGGAAAGTTTGAGCCCAGATGGGGAAACTTAGTGACAGAAACCCTGCCTCAAAAAATAAAAAAGGGCTGGGGATGTAGCCCTGTGCAAAGGCCTTGGGTTCAATCCCCAGTACCATAAAAAAATGAATTATTAATTAAACTTTAAAATACTTGGGGCGTGGGCTGGGGATATACCTCAGTGGCATAAGTGCCTGCCTGTCAAGCGCAAGGTCTTGAGTTCAATCCCCCGTACCGCAAAAAAAAAAAAAAAAAAATTAATTGTAAAATACTTGGAACATAGCTCAATAAAAAGCCCTGACCTTAGTCCCCACTACCACTGCCCAAAAATTTTTTAATTAAAAAAAATAAATAAAAAGAGGAAAAAGAAGAAAGGATTCAGAGTGGTTTGACAGGCCACAATGGGGCCCAAGGACCAAGGCGGTCTCCCGGGTGACAGTGGAGCATGGACCTAAATGACCAGGAGGACCCATGCACAGAGGTCACTGGCGGGGCCCGAGGGCAAGACAGAGCCCAGAAGCCGCATGGAGGCAAACACCGGGGCACAGGGTGATGCAGGGGACCTCCGGGTTGCCTCTGGGAGCAGTGGTCAGGACAGAGACCGGGAGGGACGCAGGCCTTGGGCTGACGAAGGTCAGCAGCCCCGGGCCTCTGAGGGATGGAGGGACAGCTCCTGCAGCCCTGGGGACTGGCCCACCTTGCCCTGGAGAGGGGACCAGCGGGGCAGGGGACGCTTGGACCAACACCCAGGCCCTCTGGACCAATACCCGGGACCAATACCCAAACCAAACACAGTTTTGGTCCCCACCAGCCTGGGGAGCGGACCCACGCTCCTCTCCTCCCTAGTCACTGCACCCCAGCACTACCAGGAAGAGCCAGAAAATAAGGCAGGCCAGGGCCAGGAACTCCACCCAGGGTCTACAGTCCCCGAAATGGGCCGAGTGGCATCCTCAGCTGTCCACTGCCCCCACCGGCTCCACAAAGGGCCACACCCCAACGCCAGGGAAACCTCACTGAGAAAGCCAGCAAAGAGGCCGAGGGAGGAGCTGGCCCGGCAGCTGCAGGCTCCCCGAAAGAGTGGGGTCTTCGCGGTTCCCTCCAGCGAATGGGTACGATTGTGCAGGCCTGGGTGTGGAGCAGTCAGCTACTGTCCAGGCCCAGGTGACCCCTCTCACGCCACCCACCCCTGCCGCCCTCGCCCAGTAGGCTCTCTGCCGCCTTGACCTGACTGTCCGAAAGGTGAGGTGCCCAGCAGGCCCCTGCTCGAGCAGAAGTCATGGCATCAAGGCCACTAAACAAGGGATCGAACTGGGGAGCCTGGGGGCAGGGGGCGTGACCACCTGGGACTCTCACCCAGGGACCTCGGATGCGGGGCAGCCGGGGACCCCAGCTGGCTTCCTGGGGCGCCAATGCACATTCCCGGGCCACCACGGCCCTCCCACAGGACTCTCCGAAGTCCAGCAGGGACCTCAGACTTGGACTTGGGCAGCAGAGAAGTAATCGGGTCCCCCAGGAAGGGGTGGAACTGACGACAGGGTGAGGCCCGGCCCCGCCGCCGTGGCAGGAGAGGAAACGTCGGGGCAGGCAGGGAACAGTTCGCCGAGGAATTCTCCTGCAAGGTGGCCGCGCACGCACAGACCCTTTGCGAGCCGAATCCGGAGGGCGAGCGAGCGACACCAGGCGAGGATGGCAAGGGCAGGGGCGGCGCCCGGGGCGCGGGCAGCGGGGCGGGCTGCCAACGC